TGCTTTTCCTGGTCTCCCATGGGGTGCAGGGCCCAAGCACCTGGGCCATCCTCCACTGCACTCCCTGGCCACAGCAGAGAGCTGGCCTGGAAGAGGGGCAACCGGGACAGAATCCGGCGCCCCAACCGGGACTAGAACCCGGTGTGCCGGCGCCGCTAGGCAGAGGATTAGCCTAGTGAGCCGCGGCGCCGGCCTATAGAGAAAGGTCTTCCTTTGCCATTGGTTCACCCTCCAATGGCTGCCGCGGCTGGCGCGCTGTGGCTGGCACACCGCGCTGATCTGATGGCAGGAGCCAGGTATTTATCCTGGTCTCACATGGGGTGCAGGGCCCAAGTACTTGGGCCATCTTCCACTGCACTCCGGGGCCATAGCAGAGAGCTGGCCTGGAAGAGGGGCAACCGGGACAGAATCCGGCGCCCCGACCGGGACTAGAACCCGGTGTGCCGGCACCGCAAGGCGGAGGATTAGCCTAGTGAGCCGCAGTGCCGGCCCTGCAAATTCTTATAACACTGGTGAAATGTTATCCTGAATTCTTGTTCATCCTCACAGGCAGTGTGTTGTAGACCTGCATCTCCAGGTAGTGTGAAAGGCTACTCACAGGAGTTTATAGGGGTAGTAGAAGTGGCAGTGAATATCACTTTTCTTCCTTCTGCCCTCCCTCTCTCCCTTCCTTCCTCTCTATCAATAACTCTGTCACTATAGAAATCTGAAGTTAGGGATGCTGTTCTCTTGGAAGTTTTGAGTTGCTTAGCTCACCATGTCTCACCTCCCGCTGCATTTTGTAGTAATTTGATATAAAAATGAAGCACTCCTATACTTTGCATATCCTTGAAGGAGTCTGGAATACTCACCAGATGACTTTATTGTATAGCTAGGACTATGAATCACTGGCCACATAATATTGGAATAAGAGTAGGACTATAGTTGGGGCTGTTAGCAGAAGCAGCTACCTACAGGAGCTGGTGTAATTAGAGAAACAGATAATCAGTTTGCTCCCTTGCTCTTGTGTGCAGTCTTCATTTGCACAAGTACAAGTTACTGCAGTCTTGCTAACCAATGTTTAGCTTTTGCTCTTGGCCTCAAACACAACTTTTCTTGTTTGTTTGCTCCAAGAGAAGACTTGGTAGGGCCAGTGTTGTGGCACACTGGGTTAAACCACCACCTGCAAGGCCGGCATTTCATATGGGTGCCAGTTCAAATCCTGGTTGCTCCACTTCTGATCCAGTTCACTGACAATGTGCCTGGGCCCCTGCACCCACATGGGAGGCCTGGATGAAGTTCCTGGCTCCTGGCTTCAGCCTGGCCCATCCCTGCCCATTGCAGCACTTTGGGGAGTGAACCAGCAGATGGAAGGTTCTCTGTCTCTGTCTCTCCCTCTTTCTCCATAGCTCTGTCTGCCAAATATTGTATAATATATATTTGGAATTGGGGAGGGCTAGATAAGCAAACAAAGACCGAAAGTAGCATGGGAAGAATTGTGGTGACATAGGACTTCTAAGAATTCTTTGATTTCCAAACTTTTGCATTTGATGGACATCACTGATGGATGTCACTAAGACATCACATAGGAACCAAACTACTAACATGTGAGGGAATAGACAAGATAGAATGCAATTCATGGAAAGGTTTCCTGATTCAGTACTTTGCATTATTTTGCTGCAACTGATTATTAGGACTAGAACAAAGCGAGAAAGAAGACAAAGATTAAACCAGAAATCTGCTATACTGTACACACACGCACACTCACACATGCACATGCACACATAAAGACTCCCTTTCATTAATAAAACTCGAAGTTGTAATTGCAGTAGGAAAATAAAATTAAAGCCAATGCACCCTTCAACAATTCATAGGATCAATTGTATTTGCTGTTTTATGGCAGTGGAAAGATGCAGTAATATATTACCAGGTATCTCAAATAAAGCCTGAATATTTTTCTTTCTGTAACTGCCCATCAGAAAAGAAAGGTTTGCCTTATTTTCAAGTCTTTGCAATCTTATATAACAAGCTGCTCTCTATTTTTCGTAAGAAATATGCATTGGCTTGAAATACCCAGAATCAATTCTAGTTTTAGATATTTTGTAGAGGATAACTTATATAATCATTGAAAGAGGAGGCAAGGACATTTAATATAGATTTTGTCTTTGTGCCTGAGGAATTGACCTCACAATTGCAGATGTCATTGTAAACACGACTGTCAAAAATCTCCCTAAAAAGCAGTACAAGAGTTGTTACAAAGTGGTGACTGCTTTTATACACCTGCAGGATGAACTAGCAACAACAACAAAATTCTGTTATAAAAATTCATAGTTATTGCTTGGGATAATTTTATATTGATAGTATTGCATACTATCAAAAAGTGCTACTAATCAAAATTATTTCTTTATACTGATGGAAAAAACAATATTTCTAAATTAGTATGTTTTACATTCTTTACATATGTACCTAGAATCAAGTTGGTAAATTAAATAGTGTAGGTGTATACACATACACACACATACATTTTACACAACCATATATTTGCCCATTGTCACCAACAGTATCTGAAATTGAAAACAAGCAAAATCATGACTAAGGTGGCATTTATATGTAGGGTTTGGTACTGTACTATTTGGGTCGTAAAACATCCCTCACAGGTAAGGGGAGAGCTACTGTATTCAGATGGCTGGCCAAACACCAGTCTCCTTGCTACTGTGAAGGCTTTCTCTTGATAAGGTTATCTTTAAATTTAGCAAACTTTGCGCAAAGCAGATTTCTCTCTATAATGTAGCTGGGCCTCATTCAATTAGCTGAAGGTCTCAAGAGAAAGTCTAGGGTCACTTGAGGAAGAGAGTATCCTCTTTCCACTTTGCCTTTGCACTTCACTGTGACATAAATTCTACCCTGGATCCTGGATCTCCAGCCTGAAAATCTACTCTGGAGACTGTGAACTTTCCAGCTTGCACTATCACTTCAGACAATTTATTTTTATTTTTTTATTATATATTAAAGAGAGAGAGACAAAGAGAGAGAGAGAAACACTGGTTCATTCTTCTAATATCCACAACTTCTAGGGAACAGCCAGGCTGAAATCAAAAGCTGGGAAGGCAAAACAGTTGTCCTATGTGGGTGGTGGGAACCCAATTACTTGAGCTATTACAGCTACCTGCATACTATTGTTCTAGTGGGAAGGTGGAGCCAGGGATTAATCCAGGTACTCCAGTGTGTGACATGGCAATCTTACCTGGTGAATGCCCACCATGAGACAATTTCTTAAAATAAATTTTTCCTTTCTTTCTTCCCTTCTTCCCTCCTTCCCTCCCTCCCTCCCTCCCTTCCTCCCTTCCTTCCTCCCTCCCTTCTTTCCTTCCTTCTTTCCTTCCTTCTTTCCTGTCTTCCATCTATTTGTTTATTTGTTCTGTTTATCTGGGGAACTCCAACATAAGTTCTATCTCAGATTCACTTTTCTGTCAGATCTTGTCCCCTGCCAAGCTTCTTTGAAATGTGTTATTTTTATAATGTGCTTTTATATTTTATCTCTTCTCTACTAGATTGTATGCCCTATAAGGTTTGGTCTATTTGTCTATCCTTTAGCTCTAATTTTGAAACAAAGAATCCTCAATATATATTTGTCCTATCAGTGAATTAGATATTTAACAGTCCCTCATTGTAAATATCATGTTTAGACAATCTCAAGGTTTCATTTTATATTTTCTTCAAGATTGGTCAGTTTGTTGATCTGTTTATTTTATTAACTTTAATTTTTTACTTGCTTGTGCATTTGAAAAGCAGAGTTATAGAGAGGAAAAGAGACAGACAAAGAGAAATATTCCATCTACTGGTTCACTCCCCAAATGCCTGCAAAAGCCAAGGCTAGACCAGGCCCAAATCAGGAGCTAGGAACTCCACCTAAGTCTTACATGTAAGTGGCCTGAACCCAAGTATTTGGAGAATTATCTGCTGCCTCCCACATCCATTAATATGAAGCTGGATAAGAAGTGGAGGCAACTCTATACCAGGAACTCTGATATGGCATGCTGGCATCCCAAGTGGTGGCTTTATCCACTTTACTATTGTGCCTGCTCCTAGTATTTGATTTTCAATTTATAGTACATCAAAGAGGGAGAACTATAGAAGTGCGCAAAATATAGTGACTATATATTTTAAATATTTAAACTGTGCTTAAATACATTTTAATTGCTAACGTGGAACTGATTTTAAATGATCTTACAATTTGCCTACACATATTCATAAGAAATCCAAATATTAATTGTGTTAAACAGCTGACATATAAATAGAGGTTTATATTTTATGTAACTTAAATTTGTTTAACACAACAGTTCAATAGTTTCAGTACCATTCATGGACTCACTTTTTCATCTGAGAGTATAGCAATGGATGAATACTTAGAAATTAAAATTGGTGTTCTTTACTAATTGTTTGCTTGAATTATATAATATAAAGTTTCTTACTACATTAATGAAAGTTAACCCAAATTTATTATCCAATTATAAATCCTAATTAATTAAATAAATCAGCTCAATTTTAATTAGATACAGCTTACTACTTAATTTCAGCTTATTTTCAAAACAGAACTTCTTTATCTTATTAAGGGAATTATTCTACAGTTCCTATTTTCAGGGTCATAAAGTCATTAAAATTTCCAAAATCATTTAGCATTTTTAAAATATATAAAGATTAACCAAAAAGCATTATATTATTAGAATGGGATAAAATATATTCTATCTATACACAAGAGAGCTTCAAGAAGGAAAGAATACGGTTATCTAGATAAACTAAGACCTGGAACCAACCTAAATGCCCATCAACGATAGACTGGATAAAGACATAGGTGATCTTTAGTGTTTATTACTTCAAAGTATTTAATATTTAACATGTTTAAATACAAGCAGTAGCACTTTGGTAATCAAAAGGAATAATTTGAATCATCTCAGAAAAATAAATTCATTATAATCATATTTCAGAATATGATTAAAACATTTAAAAGAAAATGTATTCACCTTTCTTGTCATCGAAGTAAAGAGTCTGTTGAGCTGGATTTGACCACTGGAGGGAGGTGTTATCATTTTGATCAACTCTGCAGGTCAAAATTGCAGTTCCGCCTTCAACAACTGTTACATTCTGTGTTAGTGGAAACTGCCCTTGGCTACCTAAAAAGGAGGTTAAAGAAAACGTTGATTAAATGAAAGTTGTAAAATGATTAACTTCCCAAGATCTTCATTGAGCTTAAATTCTCACTCAAAATAAAATATAAACCAACCAAACAGCAATAGAACAATATATTACAAAAGAAAGAAAAATAATTGAAAACTCTTAATCAGAGAACAATCAGTATTGGCATACAGTGGGGCCCCTTTAAACTCCCTTATACATTCCAGAAAACCTTTTTCCTTTTAAAAACACATATGAAGACTTCTATGAAACATGATAATAATAATTATGCTTGGTCTTGTGAAGTAATGTTGGATGAACTAAACTCTACAGCAGCAGAGGAAACACATAAAATATTTATCTGAATAAAGTCTAAGAAACATGGGCACCAGAATGCTATATTCAATTTCTGATTAAGGAAATAAAAAGGAGACTCCCATTTCACTAAGCTTTCTTGTAGATACAGCTGTTTTTAGAAATACAAAATGTGTTGTACAAGATAATGCAACTATCCTTTAAAAAGCATTTGTCTTGTCTAACACCCATCAAAACATTAAAATGATCACCCTAGTCCAAGAGATGCAAATACTATTCTTGTTTCCTTTCTCCAATGAATATATATTTTCTTTATAATCAGGGAATTGCATATCTTAACTAACCCTTGTAAATTTGGATATTATTAGTACATTATCAAGTTTTCTACCTTCTAAGCATCATACTAATTTATTTAGGTAAGTCAGGTAATAAATTTACTTAACAAGTACACTTATCATAGTTAAAAGCAAAATTCATGCATGTGGAAACAGAGTGCACAAATTTCACTACAGAAAGATGATCTGGAGGTAAGCTCTGCCAAGCCTGATAACAATGATCAACATGGATAAAAATGGCTTTCTAGAGCCAGGTTAAAATACTATTACGTGAGCAAGGTAGTTCATTAAATCAAGGCTGATTTACATATGCAAGAACATTAGGATGGCTTAATCACACCCGTGAAGTATATTTCTCTTTTCTTCTTTAGTTTTGTAATGATTCTATCATTACTACAAGCACCACTTGAGGTAGTGCAGGAGCTATTGGCATAAAGAATCTTATTACCAAGAAGCCTGTTGATTGGCACCATAAGAGACAGAAGAGCCTGAAGGGGAAAATTTCTCTCCAGACCTAAATGACACAAGCACTGAGGTTCATGACCATGTTATATAATTAAGCCTATCAAGTATAAAAATCTGATATCAGTAGTTTTGTCTTCTCAATGCCAACCTCTTAGTGTCACTATGGCAACCCCCCAGGATATCTCTCTGTAATCTTTAGGGTGGAGTTTCAAAATTGAGGTTAGGAGATGTCTGGAATAAATTCTTTGATAGTTGACTTGAAAGTCAACAGGAACCAGAGTGGATGTGTTTTGCCTTCAGCTCAGAGGTGACCTCTAGCAGGGAAACATGGAGAAACTATCAATCTTGTGAAGTGAGGTGAGGAAAAAAAAAAAAAAACAAAAAAAAAACCACCAGACGAAACATGAGCTAAGACAGAATGAAGGAATAATTATCACAGATTAACAGCACATAAATATAAAGTTTAGAATAGTTTTAGGACACTTTCTCAGATTCCCTGTTGTTGATAAATTGCAAACATTGAACAATCTGAGGGCAATTCTTTAGATAATAAGAAGCACACAATTACTAAGAAATATACATAGTTCAACCCAGATGGCATTTTGACTATCAACTGGGACATAAATATAATACTATGTGCTTTTTTTGAAGAAGTGGAAAAAAAGCACTGATGCTTGCAACAATTTCACCCACCACATTTGCAAAATAATTTTCAAAACATCCCCCTAAGAAAATATTATCCTTCTCATTTCACAGATGGGCAAACTGACACTGGGAGGTTAAGTGATTTTTCCATGGTGAAACAAAGTCAATGAACCATTTGGAGTTTGTTCTGAAAGTTCAACATTTTTATTCTTATCTTTCCACAAAGGCTGCTGGGTCATAATAGCTTCATCACTATGTGTTTAAATGTGAATTAGACAGCAATGAAAAAATTGAGTAATCATTTTAACAATGAAACTTCAAAATTGTTAAATCAAACCAGAGAGTATGTCAATATTAACTACCCTTAACTATACTATCCTATTGAGAATTTAATTTCAATAGCTATTTCGATTTTTCCTTATTAGCTAAAGAAAAGTGTCATATGCATTAGAAACTTTCAAATGCCTTATATATATATGTGTGTGTATCTATATATATTTATATCTATACATCTATATCTATATCTATATCTATCTATCTGTATCTTGTCTTTCTACTAGATTAGGACAGCTTCACTCCATCTTCTCCCCTTGTGGATTTTGACTTTAAAGTAGTATGACTTCAATTCCCTGGAACTTGCAGCCTAAAATCCCTGCAGTCAAATAATTTAGTTTTTCCCAGCGGAGAGCAAACTCATGTGGAGAATCTACTAATCCTAAATACCCTTAGGATATGTGGTTGGCAAAATCAATTCAAAAACCTATGTTGTAGGCAGTCAAACTTCTTCTCAGAGATTTGAACTGCCTTTTACTTCTGGTTGTAACCTGAAGAGTGCATCAAGTTAGCTGCTATTTTTCTCTTTTAACTTCTCATGGCTCAAGGTCTCTACTCAATTTCAAGAGCCATTCCAAGAAAATGACTCAGTTTTTGATTCAGCCTTATTAGTATGCCACCAAGTTAAGAATTCAACATGAATGGATTTGCAGATATTGTGGAGGGCCTACTATGTGTCTTGCCTTGTATGAATCAACATTTAAGAGTGTATAGTAGAAGAGTAATATACTAAGGAACTGCAAAGCAGTCAGAAATTTTAATGAAGAGTAAGTTGGTGAGGAAAAACCCTATATGTGACAAAGACTGGTCTTATGTTCTATCAACCAGAACTTCTAAAATGCACTGGTTGAATCAATGAGACCTTCTTTAGAAATAATCCTGGCCTTGACTAAAATAACCACTATCTTAAGTTTCAGAGGAATCACTCTTACTTAAATAGCATACAGCGGGATTTAAAGAAAATGCAGCTTCCATCTGGAATTTCATCAGCTGGCTTTTTTTTCCCAACAACCCAGACTCATCATTTTCCTTCTCCCTTCCTTGGGTTTATTTCCTCATATTTTGGATTGGTTACATTGTTTAACTTACTGCATCAAATTGAAGTTTTCAATAGGTGTTGTTTTTTCACAGTGAATGCACCTTCTTAGAATAGAGGTTGGCATTTGTAGGGGAAATTTTAACAGCAGAAAATGCAAAGTAACTGAAGCCTGTTGCATCTGTCCATGGCCATAAGGGAAGGGCAGAAATAGGTACTATTGTTCACCAAGAAGAAAATATAGGAAATTAAATCATAAAACCCTTAATACTACATTAATATATTGACTTAAGCCTCTCTTTTAAACTATACTTGAAATACACAGTGCATTTAAGAAGATATAAAAGATGATGAACAAAAACAGATAGTGATAACACCCATTTCAGCCTTAATATGGAAGATTAAATGATGGAATTGTGCAAAATCATATCTCAGTATGGGAAGTAAACAGTATACAATAATATTTCTTAAAGATTAGGGAAAAGTGCTACTTAATGGCTTTCTGTGATTCTGAGACTGTTTGATCTTCCCTTCCTGATCTAATTTTTCTTGCGTTTGCATTAATTTTAATAGTGCCTTTCCTGTATAATCTCAACCCTCAGCCATCACTAAACCAGTTATACCCATGTGAGTAAGACTAATTGCGCTAACCTTAATCAAGCATTCACAGTGTGCTGGCAACTGGCCACTATTCTAAGTATTTTTCTGTATAAATGGTGTTAATATTTATGACAACCTTCCCAACATCTCTACCTTAAAGATGAGGGAACTGACACACAGAGACATTAAATTATGTGCCCAAAGATACACACACAGAGCTAGAAAGTAGAAGAGTCAGGTTTTGAACCCGTGAAGTCTGCAGTCAAACTTCACCTGCTTAACAACAGAGATGTATTGAGAGCTTTTATGTCTTTTATTAACAAGGAAAGGACCATTTGAAATTTAAGAGAAGGAAAGATGTGATAGAGCTGACTCAACCAGCTCCTCACAATCAACTGAATGTAACTCTTCCTACTTCCTGCTCAGTGACATACAGTTGGTAGGTTGAAATTGATCACTGAGGGAGTATTTTCACCATGGAAATTGGCAAACACTACCAGTTAGTGACTTTCCCTATGGAGCACATTAAATATTTATAACACACCACTGAAAGTCATTATTGATGTATCAGGTCCCACTGCAAACAGTTTTAGTACTTGCCCCAACTCACCATTCCTCCAATTAAATTCCTTCAAATAGGAAGTCTTTTTTCCCCTCAATTCTATGGACAGTGATCTTGAATTGCTAGCTTTTGTTTAGCCTGCCAAGTTTGCTTTGTTCTAACTAGCCAGTGGTTGAAAATTACTTAGGCTACTTTCACTAGTTATACAGAAATAATCTGCTAATTTATTGCCATGAAAGACATTTTAATGAAGAGTGATAATTCAATATCCTGAAATGATAGCTCCCCTGGCCCTGTCTTTAAATAGCAGACTGAGCAGTTGCCATTATTCCTTCAATATTTCCATCTGTCATGTAATTAGGGAAACAATGATTTGAGCTTTTCCTTGTATTTGTTAAAAATTACCAAGTTCAAAATCAAGTGAACTGATTCTCAATGCCTACTGACCCCAGTTAGTTAAGAAATGTGCTTCCCTCCCACATTGTGTGCACACTGTCACTGTCTGACCACTGAAGAACCTAGTACACTATCACATAGAACATACAGAAGCAAATTCTAAGATTATAGTCACTGTATCCTTGGTGATAGCCTGTGATGCGCTGGTAGAGAGAGAGAAGCAATAAGCAAAGTACTGAGCACAGATCTTTAAAACCAGTAGTATTGTTGAAAGACAGCAGGCAGGTGAGGATGCATGTTTTAGCACTGGTC